CTTTTCCCCTCTCTCTCTCTCTCTCTCTCTATATATATATATATATATATATATATATATATATATATATCTAAAATTTATTCAAGCATATTTTAATTTCTATTTTATGAAATTCCTGCTACAAGAGTATTAGCCATAAAACTAATTTCTTATTATTTTATTAAAGAGTTTAACTTTTATGCATTATCATTATAAAAATAATTTATATTGTTAATAAATTAAAAATCATTTTTAATGTAATAATCATTATAAAAATTAACAATTTTTAATCCAAAAATTAATTCAAATATATTTTAATTTCTATTTTATCAAATTCCTGCTACAAGAGTATTAGTCATAAAAGTAATTTCTTGTTATTTTATTTAAGAGTTAAACTTTTATGCATCAGAAAATTTTTTATACCGTTAAGTAATTAAAAATCACTTTTAATATATAATAATTATCATAAAAAAAGTTCAATATAAACTTATCATAGATGTTGATAATACAAAAGAAAATAATAGAAGATTTTTTTTTAAAACAATAATGAAATAATTCGTTTATATTGATAAAGACAGGAGACAAAATTTACATGATATCGTAATACATTGTGCCGTAGAAAGAAAAACTACACTATATCCATGAATTTTAAGTGTATTCTTCATGACTTTAATTAATGCATTATACTCCAACAGGTTAAAATCGAAGAGTTCAAGAAGAAGCACGTCTTATTATTCATTTCGGGCCTCGAAAACATTGATGAGGAGACTCAGCTTCTAAAATCAATAAGCGAGAAACTGAAGGAGAAACCAAGGGAAGTAGAAGGATACAGGAAGGAGGATTTCAAGATTCTGTGGATCCCCATCGTGGATGAATGGAATGAGAAACATAGGAAGGAATTGGAAACTAATTTACAACGTACTAAGATTGGATGGTACGTGGTGAAAGATTTCAGTTTCGAAACAGGCATCAAGTTGATCAAAGAGGTGTTCAACTACAGGGAGAAACCTATTATCCCATTGATAAGTCCCGAAGGTAAGGTGGAAAACAGTGACACAAGGCAAATTATGTCTATGTGGGGCATTGATGGGTTTCCATTTAGAACCTCTGATCACACCCGACTTACTCAGCAATGGAACTGGTTTTGGTCTGAAATAACCAAACGCAACACAAGAATAGGGAACTTGGTAAGTATTCAGTGCTTGAATCATTGCATGTCCTATTTGATAATGTTAGAAGATAAAACACAAAAACATTTAAGTAGAATTCCTATTCGATATGTTATTATAAAAAAAAAATGTTATCAACACGTACAATGTTTTTAACACGCATTTTATTATCGAATACACTTGAGTCCCATTAACTAAAGATTATAGGAATTCCTTTTTTTAAATTAAAAAAAAATGAGATTCACATCATTTATTAGGACAAACTTATATATGTCACTAAATAACAAAAATTGTATAAGAAAGAGTATGCATGATAAAGGTGTTTCTAGGAAACTTTTTCTAATGCATATTGATTGAAAAATATGTAAACAAATTAGTTGATACCAATATCTTTGATTAATAATTAGAGTGAGAACATTGAAGTCGACATGGTAATAGAGGATTGAAATAATATATACAGATTATAAATTCGAACTTTGTTATTTTTATTGTAATATTTTCTACTAATAAAAAAAAATAATCAAGATGAAAAAGAAAGAAAACATATAGAAATATAGATATAATAAGTAATAGGATATGGTAGAAAAATAGAAATAAAAAGCAACATGCGTTAGTATATAATATGTGAACAATTGTTCACTTATTAATAAAAAATAATAATAAGAGTATTATGCTGGGGTTTAAACTTAACCACGTGTTAGAAAGAATGTAAATCAAAGTGTGTGATTAGTACCGAATATTCCTTTGTCCCAGATCAGAATTATGTTTATTAATTTGGAAAATTTAGTGGTAAAATGTTGCATATATATAATGTGGAAAATTCAGATCGAAGAGGACTGTTATCTCTTCATCTACGGAGGCTCGGACCCAATTTGGATCCAAGAATTCACAACGGCCATAGAGACACTGAAGAGGCAGGTTGAGACAATCAACTTGCCAGTAGACATAACCATAGAGTCATACCAACTAGGAAAAGAAGAGCCCAAAAATGTGCCACATTTTTGGATCGCCATCGATAGCTTGCTCACAAGTAGGAAACTACAAATGAAGGGTGGTGAAGGGGTGAAAGCAGACTTTGCAACGAGTGAGATAAGGAGGCTTCTCTCCCTCAAGCAAGACCCCAAGGGATGGGTCATTCTTAGCAAAGGGTACAATGTGAAGCTCCTAGGTCACGGTGAGGCCATGCTTGAGACGGTCAGGGACTTTGCCCTCAAGTGGCATGGCAAGTTGCATGAGGATGTGAGCTTTGATGTGGCTTTCAAAGAGTACTATGAGTCAATCAAGGATAAACATAGCTCCAAAAGATGTGAAGAGAGTGTGATTACTTATGGCTACCCCACAGACATTGTGGACCGTAAGTCGTGCCCCAATAACGATTGTCGTCGTGCAATGGAGGTAACTTCGGTTAATTACAGGTGTTGTCATGGCCATGAACAATAGACAATGTGGTTCTCTTCATCGGAATGTTTGGTGAAACCATTCATGCTTTCACGCTTGTGGGACTTCATGTTTGGCTAAAATTTGTGCCTGTGTTTGTTATTTAATTAATTAGGTGTACCGGTGTATCTCACAATACAAGGTTGTGGTACGCATAAGTACTAGCTAATAATGATTTCCATGTAGTATGTTTGTGTGTTTCTCATTGAATTGGTTTGAATAAAATAGTTGTTGAAAAAAAATTGTTGTGCATCACTTTTATTTATGCGTCTTTCACAGCATGACATTAGTATAGTAGAACAATGGGTCAAAATGCATGGTAAAAGTAAGGAAAAAAAAACACCAAGACACACATAAATGTATTTCCTTTTTAGTTTTATTGTTGTTGTGACACCCACTACCCTAACATGCATATATAATAATTATAAAATAAAATTATCTTTAAAAACTAAATCTGCAACCACATAAGGGTAAATAGTTCACATTCATAAACTGAATCCAAATAACATGTCAGTGAAATTACAAAGAAATAAAACTGAGTTTTTAAATAATTTAATGGAAATAGCATCTTAAACTAAGCCTAGCTATGTCCCGATATCACATATCCTATCAGAGCATGCCCAACTGAAGCCTAAGCTTTATTACCAACATCCTCATGTTAATGATTACCTGCAACACAATTTAAACACACACAAAGAATAAAAAAGGAGTGAGAAACATCTCACTCGATTCTAGGTGTAGAAATAACAGTTAGGCAACACAAACAAATCATACAAGTATAGTCATAGTACTCATTAATCAGGTGCAAATTCAAATTTCACATATAACAGTAACACATACACAATCATTCATCATGCAATGATGTTATAGACTCGACTCATAAATGCATGCATGTGGCACCAGTCACGTGTCTCATAGTCATATATCACTGATGTGTTGCCTAAACAACACACCTAGAATAGCTTGTTACATCATTGGTGATCCTAAGCACACCTTGTTAGCTTGTTACATCATTAGTGACCCTAAGGTACACCTTGTTAGCTTGTTACATCATTCGTGACCTTAAGGTACACCTTGTTAGCTTGTTACATCATTGGTATGTGGCATAAGCGACACACCTGAATAGATCATATATGCACATGATGCATGTCACACATTCACTATTTCATTGTCTCAACATTTCACTTGTCATGGAATTTCATGTCTTATCTCATTTCATCACATTTCTCATTCTCATAGTCATAGCTTATCTCATTAGCACATTCTCATTCACATCATGTCTCATGTCATTTGTTCATATTTCACATAGTCATACTCATAATTATTCGGCATAGAGTTTCGCACAGGAACCCACAGAGCACTCTAATTCATATAAAAACTTATCTAATTTGGAAATCAAATACATATTTACACTCTACATCACAGAAAGAACGCAACAGAACATTCAGAAAGTAAAATAGAAAATATTTATATTTGGCCTGTTTCTCATAGGGTTCTCTCAGAAATCCATAGAACACTCTAATTCATATCAAAACTTGTTTACTTTCAAAATTAATCACATATTCATACATCACATCTAACAAGGAACACAAGAAAACAAACAAAAGGCAAAATAGAAAATATTCATATTTTGCCTATTCCTAGAAGCATGCATCAGGCAAGGGATTGGGGGCCAATTCAGATACCCAACAATTATTCCCACACTCCCGAGCGAGCGAGGTTTCTCACTCCCCCTTTCCTGGATAAGAGAAGACGAAGCTAGAGCGGAATATGGTTGATCTCCTTTTCTGGGTTCTCCTTGGTCTTCAGAGAGTGTGTCTAGAAGTAGTGCCAGAGTTTGCTATTTATAGATGTTAGGAGTGGCTAGAACGACTTGTTTTGGATCCGAAACGACCCGGGTCTAGACTCATTTGTCATGTGTAACATTCACATCTAGAACGACCCGTTCTTAAACCAGAACGACCCGTTTTGGGGTTGCACTTTAACACATAACGACCATGTTTGGAACGCCCTGTTCTTAAACTAGAATGACCCGTTCCCAACTAGGATTATAGGCCTTTTTAGTAGTTTGGAACGGCCTGTTCTAGTTAGGGAACGACCCATTCTGGGCTACCAAAAATAGGTCTTTTTAGTAGTTTGGAATGACCCGTTCCAATTTGGGAACGACCCGTTCTAGACTACTAAATCACCCTTATTAGACTTTGAGCATTCATATAATCTGTGAAAATCGAGGTGTTACAGTTGCTGCCTTTAAATGTCCCACATCTTTAACACCCAAGATTTTCACAAATAAATTAATAATAGTTTTATTTTAATTAATTAGGTTATTTTAAATAAATGCATTCTAACTAGATAGAACCTGGGATAGAATCCAAGTTCTCACATGTTTTATATCCTTCCATGTAGACTTGCGTTAAAAATATAGTAAGTGATCTATAATTTCACTAAATTTTTTTAAAGAGATTAGCGATTGGCTTTGGTCTTGCATGGTCATGCCTTAGCTTAATCTAAACTTTTTTGTGACAAAAAAATAAGTGCATTTTATTTATGTGGAAAATATAATTTTAATTAATTATGTTTTATTTAAAAATTTTGAGAAAAGGGAAGTATAAATATGGTTTAATTGTTTTACTATTTTTACAATTCTCATTTTACAATTTTTACATTTTTGTGCTTTACATCTAGTGTTTATCAAGGTAAGGGGGAGTGAGTAGTTTCATTATTGGCGTGGGATATATGTTGGGCAATGAAATTGACCTCCAAATATCTTTCTCTATCGTATTTGTTGTATGAGAAAGCAATCTAAAATTATGATCTTAACTTGTTTTTATATTCTATGTGATTCTCTAGTATTCTAATTGATATTGTTGATTTGCCTGTGTATTTAATTGTATGTAATTATTAATCTAATGGATCTTGGATTATCAATGAGTTTTTGTGGGAACCTTAAGGAATGACGTATCGAGTAAAAATGAGATAATTGAGATGAATATGTGAGAATGTGTAATTAATGGCTTTTAGATATGTAATTCAGCCTTTAGAACATTTTTATCGATTGAATCATAAATTGAGTGATATTCTTATTAATTGTGTGCAATTGTTGCTTCTTTACAATTTGAGTTTTTTTGACACGATGTCAGGTGCCACTATGGGCTGTTGGGCATGAGAATGGTCAAGAGCACAATTTACTCTTAGTGTCACTCATGTCGGTCGTGGGGGTGGTCCCTGTCAGGTGGGGGAGCTCTAGGGGGCTCCCTGTGATGATTTCATCGAGCGTGACCTTGGTCACGTCGTCGAGTGCAATTTGTCTAGAGTGCAATGTGTTCTTTCTAGATAAATCATGTCAGGTGCCACCCTATACCTCTTATTCTTCGTCTCTTACGATTAGTGTGTGATCAATATCTCTAATTCTTATACTAGTTAATGTTGACAAAGGAACATTGTATGCTAAGTATGTTATTCATCTAATTGCAAGTTGTATATGAATCAAATAATGTTAGTTGATATTAATACATGATATGTTGGTGTGTATGGATTTTGTGAGGGTTATGCTACGCAAAGTCTAAGTTGAGGCTTAACAAGGATGAAGTTTGAGCACATTGGCTTAGTAGTGACATGAGTAATGCATGCATGCTTTGTATTAGTGATAATGTGATAACATGACATTGCATTGGATCTTGTATGACATGCATCATATGTATACATGTTTTTGGATAAATACAATATGAAATATATTTTTAGAAGAGGTTCTCCTTGTGTAAAAGATTAGGAATTGATGACCTTGGAGATAGTCAGGTTTGCGAGCTCTAGTTCCGTCCATTTGTGTTCATGGTTGTAACTTACACGACATTGTTATCCCAAAATTCCCTAGAGTGTTGTGATGGCTTTTTCTGACATGTTCTCCTAGGTTACTCTTTGTGTGTCTTAATAAGACAATGCATCATGATGTGATTTCACTGGTGCCACATGCATATGCATATTGTAGTTTGTGTCCATTGCATTGTGTGTGTTAATGCATATATATGTGTTGAAATATGTTGTGAATCTGTGATTGAATATGGTATGCTATGTTTGATTTGTGATATCCTTTTGTGTTTGGCTATTCAATTATGTTTTACATTGTGAGTAGGGATGACAATGGGGTGGGGTTAGTGCAAGTTTCTCTATACCCATTCTTGTTCCTATTCTTGTACCCTATAGTCATACTCTCGTCTTCGTACCTAGCAAATATGAAATTTGTGTCCCCATCCCCATACCTGCTAGGTATCGGTATACCCGTATTCGTCCAAAAATTAATTAAATATTAATTTTTGAAAAAAAATATAAAAATAAGAATTTCAACATAAAATAATAATTACAAAATTACATTAATTAAACTTTATTTGACATAAATTAAAAATAGAGTAATAAATTATATAAATTTTAAGTAAAATCTAAAAAAAATTAAATATTTATAAATTTTAAGTGAATACAGGTACGGGTATGGGCATCGAGCAGGTATATGTATATATTCATCTCTATCCCTGTACTTAGTTTAATGAATCAGATATTACCTGTGCTTAGTCAAACTGAGTATTTCCCGTTAAAGTTGGGCGGATTTGAGCATTACCCACGAATATGGGTTTACTTGTCATCCCTAGTTATGAGTCATATATAGTAAAATGTTTCTCACTATCCCTTTTCTGGTTTTGTTCTTGTCTATGTTGTTATAGCTGAGGATTATCATGATATTGATGATGATGGAGACAATACCTAGATATAGTGATGAATTTTATGCTCTGATAGGAAGTGAGATCAAGGCGGTAGCTAAGATTTGAGCTTTTGTTCTTTACTATGTTTAGAATTGGTATTAGCTTTCATTTGACATTATTTTAATAGTTACTTATATCACGCTACTACTTTGTTCTAGTTCATTATGTGATAACCCTTTTGAGGATTTTGTTTATTTCAAAAAAAACTTTACCCTTTTAGAAATCGTATTTTCCATTTCAAAATTATATGCTTATTAAAACATGTGAGATAGAGGTTGTCACAACATCAGTGAAAAACAAATATTATCATTGACTTTTCTATCTACTTTATTCTTTAGTTAGTTTGTGGTGGTGAGCTTGGACGTTTAATTTTTTTTATTAAAAAGAAATTAAGTGGATCTTATTTGTTCCTTTTTCTTACCTATTTTCTAACATTAGAAGTGATGGATGTTATTCTTTAGGAGACAAGGGAGTTATTGTTGAT